GTGTGCGTTTTTAAACCCTCGCTCCATGAATACGCCAGACTGCCGCCTTTATTCCGGGGGACCCGGGGGGCAGGAACAGCACGGGAAGAGACCCCGAGCAGCCTGGCCTGCTGTCCTGTCTGGTGCCGTAGTGCTTGAAACTCTTCAGCTCAGGAAAAAGGCGATGTGAGGTGCTTTATTTCGGGGGGGAAAAAAAGCCCAGATCAAACGGCCTTTTTCTCAGCCTCGGTTTGGGATTCCTGCGGAGAGCCCTGTAACGAGCTCAGGCCAGCCCGCAGTGACCGGAGGCCAGTGGCAGTTCCTGCTCAGGATATCCGGCCGGATCTTCACACGGCTTCGAACTCGAACCTGATCTCGCTGGCTCTCTGCCACCGCAACCTGCCGGTCTGTTGACTTCTGACAGGCTGGACCTATATAGTCTGCGGCTCCGATCCTGTTGCGCTCCGATCTGCAGGAAAGGGCTGGTACTTCCATTCCGAACCCCGGAAGCAGGGATAAGACATCGCACTGCAGCCTACAGGCCAAACCAACAACAACTCACTCGGAGACGGGACGGGGAAGTGGAGGAGGAAAAACGGGTAAAAAAAGAGTGAAGGCAAGAGCTGGTCCCCGAACCCCTGTTCAGGGGAGGAGGAAGAGGACGGGGGGGAAACTGGGAAACTTGGGGAATTCCCGGGAGAGAGAGACCGCAGCAGCGGAGAGGGAGGCTGGCGTCTCCACCGGCAGCAGGGGCTCAGGGCTAATCGCGTTAGCGTGACAGCGGGGATCAGGGCGTTCGAGAGGGCGGGGCGTCAGTCCAATTACAGTCAACAGGAGCACACCTCCTCATCATCTGCAGCTGCAGGGGGGCAGCTGGAGATCTGCCGTTTACAACCCTGATGACTTTCATAAACTGCCTCCCCCCGTCAAAACAAGATTGAGCTCATTTTCAGTGTCTCTTCCTTTGAATTACGCACCTAGGAACTCCGACGAAACCTAAGTGGGCAGTATAGCACAGTGTGGGCTATTGGAGACATTTTTTTATTTTATCCGGAGTCAGGTTTACGTTTATACGACCCCTTCCTCAAGCAGCAGCGCAACCAGTCTGTTACTGGATAAGAACTGAAACTTCACATCGCCATTGGGATGCTCAGTATATATATAAAAAAAACAATGTTTCTCTGAGGCCCTTTATGAAAAAGGGCTTTGAACAGAGAAGATGTCAGAGCTGCAGGAGGTTCAGACCCTTGAACAGACCCTTTTCTTAGCCGACCGGCGGGAGTCTCCACGTGCAACAGGACAGATCAAAGCAGCACCGTAACAGAGCAGCCTGACGCTCCACCGACAACATGAGTCATGAAAAAATCCCCTACACTTATATAGCCGTTTTTCTGGACACTCCACTCAAAGCACTGTACAGGTAATGGGGATCCCCTCCACCCCCACCAGTGTGCAGCCCCACCTGGATGATGCACCAGTCCTCTCCCCACACACCAGCTCTCAGTGGGGAGGAGAGCAGAGTGATGAGGCCAGTTCAGAGAGGGGGGTTATTAGGAGGCCATGATTGGTAAAGGCCAGGGGGGGAATTTGGCCAGGACACTGGGGTAACACCCCTACTCTTTTTGAAAAACACCCTGGGATTTTTAATGTCCACAGAGAGTCAGGACCTCAGTTTTATGTCTCATCTGAAGGATGGAGCCTTTTTACAGTATAGTCTCTCCTTCACTATACTGGGGCATTAGGACCCACACACACCGCAGGGTGAGCGCCCCCTACTGGTCCCTCTAACACCTCTTCCAGCAGCAGCCTTAGCTTTCCCAGGAGGTCTCCCATCCAGGCACTGGCCAGGCTCCCACCTGCTGAGCTTCAGCGGGTGCCAGTTGTGGATTGCAGGGTGATATTAAACTAGGATGATATTGCTGTTGCTGCTAACGCAATATCCCAGCCTGCGGCCACTGCGTACGTGCGGTGAATTTTGGATATCTAGGGCATCCTCTGAAAAGCTCCAGGGATGTTGCAAAAACAGCGTCTCGATGCATAGCTGCTTGAAACCAGGCTTCTCAACCGTCACCGACGGCCTCCCGATTGCCCAGGTGTCAGAAGAACAGGTACAGACGAGAGGAGCCTTGAGATCTCAGGATCCCATCCAGCTGTTTCTTGAAAGAGGCCAGCGTGTCGGCTTCAAGAGCCTCAGACACCCACTCGGACGATCATAGGGCTGAGCGAAAGTCTCTTCCCTTTGGTTGACAGACCGGTGCCTTGTGTGTTCTTCAGAAGAGCTCCATCTCGGTCCAAGACCTCATTCAGCTTTAACCTGGACCTGCTTCTGCACAGGAACTGCCAGCAGCTCTCATGCTAAACATCTCAGAGTCACTGCACTGTCACCACGAGTGCTATTGTATACCGTCAGTGTGAGCACTGGTCCACACTGTATACATCCACATTATATACTGTCAGTGTGAGCACTGGTCCACTGTTACTGTGAGCAGTTCCACACTGTATATAGCCACATTACACACTGTTACTGTGAGCACTGGTCCACACTGTATATATCCACATTATACACTGTTACTGTGAGTGCTATTATATACTGTATATATCCACATTATACACTGTTAC